CGGGGCGCGCCACCTCCGGGCCCGCCGGCCGTATCGGAGTCGCGCGGGGCTTCTTCCGCTGTGGCTCTTGCCAAAACCTGCACCGTGCAGCCTGGTTGCTTTAAAGGCACACGTTGCCTCGGCCTTGCGTTGAAGCCCAAAGCCTCAAGCGTGAAGTTTAGGAGTCCGTTAAGCTCGGTATCGACGTAAAGTACAGCTCCGTAGCGCCTGGCTTCTCTGCTGTGCTCAGGGCTCTCTGTATTACTACAGATGTTTCACCCATGTAGGGTCACTTTATCCTGCTGGCAGCCTCCTCACTTTAAGCAAGGATCAGACCTGGAGTTATTATTTTATGTTATAGTGGGGGAGGAGGGGACAGTGCCCTGAAAATTGTTCTCAAACAATCCCAATTTTAGATGAGTAGCGCTGCCTGCCCCCGGGGCACAGCGCGTTTCAGGGTCAAGGCAGAAAACATCTCGACTGCAGAGGAAGCCAGCTGTGGCAGGGTCTAGGCGAGGCTTATCTTCTACTCTAGCAGGGGTGCAGCGCCCGCTCGCCTTTGAGCTGCCGCGATTTGTGTTAACGCAGGAGCGACAAGACGCCGGCGGAGAGCGGAGCTGCATCGCGCTCGTCTTACGCGGCCGCAGCGCGGGACAGCGACCGTGCCTCCTCCTCCTCCCCCAAGCGCGTCCCCGGCGGGGACAAATTGATGGTTGGCTCCTTCCGAAGCGGTTAACGCGTTACGTTTCCCTGAGCACGATTTTGCAGTGGCATAAAAAACTGCCCGCAGGCCTGGAAGCGGCGACGCCGTCCCCGCAAGGCTGGCAGCACGCCGCGGAGAGCAGAGCCCGCAGAAACGGAGGAAAGGGGGCCGGGCACTCTGCAAAGCAGAGCAAGACAACGAGGAGGTGAAAGGCAAGATTTTTCGGTGCTTCGTTCCCTGCTCTGCCACCGACCTGTTGAACAGGAGTCGTCCTCGAGATTGGCGCTTACTGGAGCCAATGGGTCAATGAGAAAAGGCCCCTAACAAGGTTGAACGGAGCCCAAAGATCCTCATTTTTTTGACTGCCAGTTCCTTAACTCTGCCCACGTTTGTACCAGACCTAACGGCACCGGGGCCAGTCTAGGAGAAGGTTTCTAAGGCATTACGGCATTATAAATAATGATTGCTCCACCTCCCAGTTTCAAGGATTAACGAGCCTGGGTTTGATTTCCTTGCCTACAAGGCACTGCGGAGCGCAAGACGCTACAAAACAGCCTCTCCGAGAGCTGCTGGCGCTCCCCTTTACCTCCTGAGGCCGACCCCAGCACTCTGCGCAGAGATTTAACCCACTCCTCCATCTCAGCCTGGGAGTTCGCCATGAGCACGCAGGAGTCCTGCCCTGCCCGATTCTGGTCTCCAGAGATCCCTGCAAAAAAAAAATAATTAAAAAAAAAACATTTATTAAGGGAATTGGAGGAGCGAAAGCATGAATACTTGTTGGTTTCTTTGCTAAAAGTTTTGGGGTCCCAAACCCCCAATTCATCTCTGTTTTCCCTGCGAAAGGAAGCAGCGCTCTTGTGCTTCGCTCTTGCTGAAGCTTTTCAACAAGGGAACGAAAACTGCTTGAAATTACGGCGAGGGAAGCGTCCTGCCCTTGCAGCAGCGCTGACGCGAGCGGGGAGACCAGGCTCGCAGCGCCGGACACGGGCAGTGACACAGGGCTGACGCACGAGTAGCAAAAGCAACGCGTTGGTTATCACGTACCAGGCAACGCTGTGCAGACGCTGCAGATAAGGCAGAATAGAAAGCTCTCTGCTATCAAAGGGAAACGAAACAAAACCTCAAAAAAGGCTTTTTCCGGACTAATTTTGGAACCGCTCCATCAGGTCTCGAGCGAGACCTGGCCCCAAGAGCCTCCCTGGGCTCAACCACGTCCGAAAAGCGCGCAGCAAACCGGAGTGAAGCGGAGACTGGCACGCAGGGTGCTGGCAGCCTCACCTGGGATGATTTCGAAGATGAACTTCCCTCCTTCCTCCGGGTTGCCGGCCACCTCCTTAATGGTGCTTCCCAGCAGAGACAGGCAGCCCTAGGACCAAGGAGAGCAGGAGTTGCAAGCGCCCGTTTCCCGTTGTCCCGTCCGCGCGAGGCTGACGCTACCGTGCGCCGCAGCAGCCCTCGAGACCCACATCCTCTGTTTGAACAGATGTCGGGAGCTGACGGTTTTTTCTCATTGCAAAAAAACAAACGAAAAAAATCTTCTAAAAAGAAAAAAAGAAAGACTTTTCAAACACTAAGGGACACTTCTTAAGCGCTGTCTTTTTCTGATGAGCTGGTTCTCAAGCTGAGAAGACTGGTTGCTATACGTTGGTACATTATATTATCCTTTTTTCTTCTCCCTTTCCACTTTCATCTCTTTCTAACCCCTGTTGGGAGTGAGGAAAGACCTGAGGAGGCAGGACGTGGCGAAACGCCGGGGTAAAAAGGAAACTCGTTCCTTTTACACAGAGACCCGTGGAAAACAAAACCAAACAAACCCCAGCGCTTGTGGGAGAGGAACGGAGAAAGGAAGAGGGATGGCAAAAAGGGAGGAAAAACGGCCAAAAAGGAAAACAACCCTTTTGGGCTTGGGCTCCGTCCTGGCGCGTCCCCGCGGAGGGGGCGCTGGGGCCCCTTGAGGCCTTCGCCGGGCGGGAAAGGAGGCCGGGCGGCAGCA